CCAGGGACTCTATAGACTTCCTCCAGGGACTCTATAGACTCCCTGTAGATCCCTCCAGGGACTCTATAGACTCCCTGTGGATCCCTCCAGGGACTCTATAGAATCCCCGTGGATCCCTCCAGGGACTCTATAGAATCCCTGTGGATCCCTCCAGGGACTCTATAGACTCCCTCCAGGGACTCTATAGAATCCCTGTGGATCCCTCCAGGGACTCTATAGACTCCCTCCAGGGACTCTATAGAATCCCTGTGGATCCCTCCAGGGACTCTATAGAATCCCTGTGGATCCCTCCAGGGACTCTATAGATCCCTCCAGGGACTCTATAGAATCCCTGTGGATCCCTCTAGGGACTCTATAGACTCCCTGTGGATCCCTCCAGGGACTCTATAGACTCCCTGTGGATCCATCCAGGGACTCTATAGAATCCCTGTGGATCCCTCCAGGGACTCTATAGAATCCTTGTGGATCCCTCCAGGGACTCTATAGAATCCCTGTGGATCCCTCCAGGGACTCTATAGACTCCCTGTGGATCCCTACAGGGACCCTCTAGACTCCCTGTGGATCCCTACAGGGACCCTCTAGAATCCCTGTGGATCCCTACAGGGACCCTATAGAATCCCTCTGGATCCCTACAAGGACCCTACAGGGATCTGAGAGGATCCCTGTGGATCCCTACAAGCATCCTAGAGGATCCCTGTGGCTCCCTACAAGCATCCTAGAGGATCCCTGTGGATCCCTACAAGCATCCTAGAGGATCCCTGTGGATCCCTACAAGCATCCTAGAGGATCCCTGTGGATCCCTACAAGCATCCTAGAGGATCCCTGTGGATCCCTACAAGCATCCTAGAGGATCCCTGTGGATCCCTACAAGCATCCTAGAGGATCCCTGTGGCTCCCTACAAGCATCCTAGAGGATCCCTGTGGATCCCTACAAGCATCCTAGAGGATCCCCGTGGATCCCTACAAGCATCCTAGAGGATCTGTATGGATCCCTACAAGAATCCTAGAGGATCTGTGTATGGATCCCTTCAAGAATCCTGGAGGATCCCAATGGATCCCTACAGGGATCCTGGAGGATCCCAATGGATCCCTATTGGGATCCTGGAGGATCCCTGTGGACCCCTACAGGGATCCTGGAGGATCCCAATGGATCCCTACAGGGATCCAAGGGGATCCCTATGGATCCCTACAGGGATCCTAGAGGATCCCTGTGGATCCCTACAGGGATCCTGGAGGATCCCTGTGGACCCCTACAGGGATCCTACGGAGGATCCCAATGGATCCCTACAAGCATCCTAGAGGATCCCTGTGGACCCCTACAGGGATCCTAGAGGATCCCTATGGACCCCTACAGGGATCCCAGAGGATCCCTATGGATCCTTACAGGGATACGAGAGGATCCTTATGGATCCCTGCATCCTAGAGGATCCCCATGGATCCCTGCAGGCCTCCATACAGGGGCCCTATAGGATGCCTATGGGTCCCTACAACGGGCCTAGAGGATCCCTATGGATTCCTGGAGGCCCCTGGAGGCCTGTTTCGGGCCCCAGGGCGGCCTCACCACGTTTTTCCACACAGGCGGCCCCTGGAGGCCCGTTACGGGCCCCAAGGCGGTCAGAATCCGAACCCAGCTAAAAACCAGCAAGAAATTGAAATCGGAGCGCGGCAACAACGGCAGGATGGCGGGGAATGCGTTTTTCAACGCCCGCGGCCCCTGGAGGCCCGTTTCGGGCCCCAGGGCGGCCTGAATACGTTTTTCCACGCAGGCGGCCCCTGGAGGCCGGCTCGGGGCACCACGGCGGCCAGAAACCGAACCCAAAGGAAAGACAAGTTTTAACAAAAAACACCTTCGGGGATCGGAGCGCGGCAGAAACGGCAACGTCGAGGGGGATATGTTTTTCCACGCCCGCGGCCCCTGGAGGCCTGTTTTGGGCCCCAGGGCGGCATGAATACGTTTTTCCACGCAGGCGGCCCCTGGAGGCCCGTGGCGGGCCCCAGGGCGGCCAGAAACCGAACCCAGCTAAAACCAACAAAAAAAGATAACGGAGCGCAGCAGCAACGGCAGGATGGCGGGGAATGCGTTTTTCCACGCCCGCGGCCCCTGGAGGCCTGTTTCGGGCCCCAGGGCGGCCTCACCACGTTTTTCCACACAGGCGGCCCCTGGAGGCCCGTTACGGGCTCCAAGGCGGTCAGAATCCGAACCCAGCTAAAAACCAGCAAGAAATTGAAATCGGAGCGCGGCAACAACGGCAGGATGGCGGGGAATGCGTTTTTCGACGCCCGCGGCCCCTGGAGGCCCGTTTCGGGCCCCAGGGCGGCCTGAATACGTTTTTCCACGCAGGCGGCCCCTGGAGGCCGGCTCGGGGCACCACGGCGGCCAGAAACCGAACCCAAAGGAAAGACAAGTTTTAACAAAAAACACCTTCGGGGATCGGAGCGCGGCAGAAACGGCAACGTCGAGGGGGATATGTCTTTCCACGCCCGCGGCCCCTGGAGGCCTGTTTTGGGCCCCAGGGCCCCAGGGCGGTGTGAGGGGTGCGCCGACATGGACCCGAAGCCTTCGGGTGCGCCCCATGTGGGGCCGCGAAAGCCTTCGGTTGCGCCCCTTGTAGGGCCACGAACCGTGTGAGTGGTGCGCCGAAATGGACCCGAAGCCTTCGGCTGCGCCCCCTGTGGGGCCACGAACCGTGTGAGGGGTGCGCCGAAATGGACCCGAAGCCTTCGGGTGCACCCCATGTGGGGCCACGAACCGTGTGAGGGGTGCGCCGAAATGGACCCGAAACCTTCGGCTGCGCCCCGTGTGGGGCCACGAACCGTATGAGGGGTGCGCCGAAATGGGCCCGAAGCCTTCGGGTGCGCCACATGTGGGGCCGCGAAAGCCTTCGGCTGCGCACCTTGTAGGGCCACGAACCGTGTGAGGGGTGCGCCGAAATGGTCCCGAAGCCTTCGGCTGCGCCCCCTGTGGGGCCACGCACCGTGTGAGGGGTGCACCGAAATGAGCCCGAAGCCTTCGGGTGCGCCCCATGTGGGGCCACGAACCATGTGAGGGGCGCTCCGAAATGGGCCCGAAACCTTCGGCTGCGCCCACATGTGGGGCCACGAACCGTGTGAAGGGTGCGCCGAAATGGACCCGAAGCCTTCGGGTGCGCCCGATGTGGGGCCGCGAAAGCCTTCGGCTGCGCCCCCTGTGGGGCCACGAACCGTATGAGGGGTGCGCCGAAATGGGCCCGAAGCCTTCGGGTGCGGTCCATGTGGGGCCACGAACCGTGTGAGGGGTGCGCCGAAAGAATCCCAAAGCCTTCGGCTGCGCCCCGTGTGGGGCCACGAACCGTGTGAGGGGTGCGCCGAAATGGGCCCGAAACATTCGGCTGCGCCCCCTGTGGGGCCACGAACCGTGTGAGGGGTGCGCCGAAATGGGCCCGAAGCCTTCGGGTGCGCCACATGTGGGGCCGCGAAAGCCTTCGGCTGCGCACCTTGTAGGGCCACGAACCGTGTGAGGGGTGCGCCGAAATGGTCCCGAAGCCTTCGGCCGCGCCCCCTGTAGGGCCACGAGCCGCGTGAGGGGTGCGCCGAAATAGTCCGATGGAGCCCTGTAGGGGTTCTATGGGACTCCGATGGAACCCTGTGGGGGTCGAATGGGAGTCCGATGGAACTCTGTAGGGGTTTTATGGGCGTCCTATGGAACCCTGTAAGGGTCGTGTGGGAATCCTATGGAACCCTGTACGGATCCCACAGGATCCTCCTGTAGGGGTGCGTTGTGTTGTGTTGTGTTGTTCCCCCCCCCTCCCCCCCTCCCCCCCCGGGGGGGGCTTGCCCCGCCTGTATCAACAACAACAACAACAGCAACAGCAGCAGCAGCAGCAACAACAACAAAAAAATGTTTAGACTGTTCGCCCTTATCTGCTCGAGTGTCCAATAACGCCTATTTACCAAACCCTCGATACCCGCCCTCTTCGTCTTCGATCGAACCCCTTTGGGGGGTATACCTTTCTTCCCTGCAGGCCGGGCCCTGGCAAGCGGCGGGGCGGCCGCGGACCGTCGGCCTGGCCAGCGGCAGCGCTGATCGGCGGGGCGGCCGCGGACCGTCGACCCGACCCCAAGAGGGACGGACAGGGGACCGACCACGACGACGACGACGGCGACGACGACGACGTCGACGATGACGGCGACGAGCGAAAGCGAGAGCGAAAGAGAACGACAGCAGGGCCACAAGGACACGAAGTAGGCCACGAAGGGCAACAGTTGGGACACGAAGGGAATGCGTATGGGGCCACGAAGAGCGCGAACGAGCGGGGGCCACGAAGGGCAGATAATGCGGGGCCACAGAAGGCAACGATGGGGCCACTGAGGGTAGCAACTGGGCCACGTAGGACATATGCATACGGGGCCACCACGGGCGCGGACGAGCGGGTGCCACGAAGGGCATACATATATGGGGCCACGAAGGGCAGCGAGGGGGCCACGAAGAGATGCAACGGGGCCACGAAGGGCAGCAAGGGGGCCACGAAGGGCTGCAACGGGACCCCTCACGCAGATCCGTAGGGTCAGGGTCCAAAAACACAAGGGATTTGCCACATTTCTTAAATTCGGTGGCACCCGTGACGCAGATCCGTAGGGTCAGGGTCGAAAAACAAACAGGTCCCGACACTGCTTCACGGCGGCGCCCAGGCCTCATGATTTAGCTTGTGCATCTCCCATTATCCGAGACAGGGGGCTGGCGGCATGGGGCGAAGCCCTTACGGATAACGAGGGTAGCACCTAAGGGAGGGAAAAGGCATTCGGGGGAAGAAAATGTGAGGAGATGCAAAGGCACTTGTGATAACCTGGAGAGCTGGAAGGACAGCAAGGGAGATAAAGGCTGCTCATCGTGGGCCGAGCAGGCATACATAACATTACACTGGTACTGCAATCTCTGCGGTTCCGCCTCCACCGCACTGAGCCACACACATGGTGCACTGCACTCATACTCATAAATTTTCCTCCTGCTCCCCCAATCGGACCGGATTCAGCACAGCCCCAGACATGGGCACGCCGTGCAGGCATTCCAGGTGCTCCTGCGGCGAGGGGAAAGGAAAATCGTGAGCCTCGTCCATCACCCTGGAACCGCCCAGGTGCGTTCGCATCCCTCGGCGGCATCCACCACGCCAATTTTGGGACACACGCGGCGTTCAACCTTGAACGCCCTTGCTTTGCTCACCGCCGCGACAAAGCCGCTCAAATCGACCGCACCAGACGTTTGAGAGAAGATCCCAGGCGGAACGAAGAAGCCGCTGGCCGAGCCCCCCCGTGAGAGGCACTGAATTGACAGACCGGAGGTTGAGTGACGTTCGGTTAGCCTTTCACCTGTAGTCCGAATCTCTAGCCGTGCGATGTCGCAGCGAGCTGCTCAGCGGCGAGAAAATCACACTAACTAGTAACACATATTGATCTGAATGTTGAACCGCTAGACCAACGTCGGTCCGCGGAGCAAATGCGTCACGCGGACGCAACATAAGCGAGGAACATCATCAGAAGAAAAGACAGCAATGCTATACATGAGCTTCTCGGGACGGGTATGAAACGATACCCCCCGCAAACAACTGGCGTACCTTCTTCAAGGAATCGCCGTTCTGGGGGGAAGATCTTCCCATCACGCATCTGTCTACTCGCCATGGGCAGTGTTTCTCCTAACTGCGTGCTGCCGCTCTCGGTACTGCATTCAAATACCGTGGTAACCAAGTGCTCAATTCGAATCGATGTTATGCAGGCGTTTCTGGCAAAATATGTTATGCAATATAGTTTGAGCACTCTATGTGGTGCAATACTATGTTGTGCACGCTGTGTTGTGAAATGTATGCGGATACATCTGTGTTGTACAAGCTATGTGGTGTAGTCTAAGTGGTGCAATATATGTAGTGTATGTTGTGACTCGATGTGGTACAATATATGTGATGCAATCGACGTGGTGCAATATATGGTGTGCAATCCATTTGGTGCAATATGTGCGGTGCAACATGTGTTGCCCAAGCTACGTGGTGCAGTATACATTCATATATGGGTGTGGTGCAATATCTGTTCTGAGCGATCGAAAACCGATCTGGAGGCGCGATTTTTTCGTGCAAGCTATATTGCGCAATCCAGCGGCAGCATCGAGGTGGCGACGAGGCGGCGACGGGGCGGCGACGGCGACGACATAACCGCCAGGCCGGCCACACGGCCCAGACGACGGGCGGCGACGAGGCGGCGACGGGGTGGCGACGGCGACAACATAGCCGCCAGACCAGCCACACGGCCCAGTTCTCTTAAAGCTGAAGTAAGAAACCCTAAGTGCGAGCACTGGTTGGGGAATGAATCGTCTTAGATTTACAGGCAGACCATGCTGCGGCATCTGATCCTCAAGCGCTCCCAATTGTGTAATGCATTGGCAATCGCTCGACAGGGTGAAGTACCTGAGGTGGGCGTTCGAAGGACCGAGACACTGTTGAATGTCACGGATGAGTAGGTCATATTGAGACACTACGGCTTCAGGTCGCAGTGGGAGAGTCGAATTGAAGAAAAACTAGTGTCGTGCACACTTCAGATCGCTCGGATGCGCCAGCCTGCAGGCAAAAGCACGGTCACTCCTGCTCAGCGTGCACCCCCGTGCACGCACTACTGGGAGGAGAAGGGAGGAGGGTTCCTGCGAGACCCTCACTTCTCCCTCCCTTACTCCTCCCCCCCACCCTCGCCCCCCCGTCCCCACCCCCGGCGCTCTTCGCCCCCCAACGAATGGGTGGCAGCAACGGCGCGGCTCCGGTGTGTTGCTCAGGATCGCTGTCACGACATCCCCGCGCCCGATGCCCTCGCGACGCAGGGCGGAGGCGAGGCGCCTCGACCTGCGGGCCCGCGGAAGAACGGCAGGCACGCAAGGGGCACGAGAACAAGCCGGAGCAGGAAGGAGGGAGGGGAGAGGGAGGGAGAGGGAGGGGAGGGGAGGGAGGGGAGGGAGAGGGAGGGTGGGGAGGGAGAGGGCGGGAGGGAGAGGGAGGGAGAGAGAGAGGAGGGAGAGAGGGGCGGGAGAGGGAGGGGAGGAGGGAGGGAGGGGAGAGAGAGGGAGGGGAGGGGAGGGAGAGGGAGGGGAGGAAAGGAGGGAGGAGGAGGGGCGAGGGCGGAGGAGCGTGGGCGAACAGGACTGGGGACCTCGGGAGGCCTCCAGAGCCCACTGCGCCCGCACCTCGCGCCGGCTGCGCTCGTGGCCAAGCTGCGGAAGACACAGCCAGGCGCCAAAGGGAGCCCGCGCTCGGGCGGGGACTGCACCAGCCCGATCGCGGCCGAGGCAGCGAAGCCCCTAGATTCGCTGAAAGATCACGGGCCGTGCAAGTACGAACTCACCGGGGTGTTCGCCCAGTGCCCTGGGACCACATACGTGTAGCGCGCGGGGCTTTCAGGATTGGTGTTGAGACCGAGATGGTGAACTGTCTTGGACCTGCATACCTCATGCGATCGGAAGAGGCTCCCGAGGCGAGCCACAGTGCGAGCTGAGCGAGGGCGAGAGCGTCATAGGGCGTCATAGAAGACAGCTAAGACCGAGTCGAGAGAATGCCATGGGACAGCATATCTCCTGTGAGCGCGAGTGTGGTAGTGGTGGAGGCAACCCACGTCCAACCTGGATAAAAAGAATGTCTGCCTGCAATTGCGTGCGAGTGTGCGTGTGTGTGGCGAGGAACTTCCCTCCGCTCTCCTTCTGCTTCCTTCTCTCGCGTCGGCCGCGCATCATCAACTAGACACGGCGCAATAGAACGTCCCCGTGACCCAACAGGCGGTTCACGCGAAGGCTTCGCCGAAGAAGAAAAATCGGGGCGAGGCGTACATCACTGATCCGTCCTCCCCTGGCTGCGGAAGCGTCGTCGTCCCCACCATGCTCCTGCGAATGGCCATCACTCCCGTGTCGGCTCCTGCCCGTGCTCTCTGCTCACCGATGACTCCGACAATAATAGAAAGAGAAAAAAACGGCATAAACGTAAACTTGTGGTGCTCCGCCCGGGCTTCTTGGATCCGCGCTGGGCCCCCCCGCCCTGGCGCGCACGAAGCGCGCCAGGGGCGGCGCCGGGGGCGCCGCCGTGGGGCGGCCCAGCACGGAGCCAGGAAATCCGCGCGGAGCGCCACAAATTTATGTTTATACCGTTTTCGTTCTTCTTCGATTCACTCCCGTGTCTGTCCCTGCCCCTTCGGCCGCGCCCTTCGGGGGACGTCAGCTGACCGCTTCCGACTCCTCCATCATCTCCTCCTCCTCCTCCTCCTCCTCCTCCTCCACCTCCTCCTCCTCCTCCTCCTCCCAGTCGTGCTCGCTGCGCACCGCTCACGCAGGCAAGAAGAGCACGGCAGGCACCGGAGAGGGAGAAGAAGACGAAGGGCCTCGCGTACAGCTGGCTCCACGAGAGCCGGCGGGCACCGTGGATGACGGCCTCTCGCAACAGGAAAGCGCGCGCGGCTGCAGCAGCCAGCCAGCACCATGCCACCACGTCTTGCAGCAGGGGCCGCCCGACCACAAGGAACCTTCCACAAGAAGCCCAGCCTTGAGGCCCCAAGACGTCCATGGATTTTTGGTGTGGGAGCGTCACGCTTTCCATAGCAACCATGTCACCACGTCTCACAGCAGGGGTCCGACCACAAGGAACCTTCCACAAGAAGCCCAGCCCTGAGACCCCAGGACGTCCATGGATTTTTGGTGTGTGGGAGCGTCACGCTTTCCATAGCAACCATGCCACCACGTCTTACAGCAGGGGCCCGACCACAAGGAGCCTTCCACAAGAGGCCCAACCCTGAGACCCCAGGACGTCTAGTGATTTTTGGTGCGGGGGCGTCACGCTGTTTCCATAGTCAGACCCTCGACACCCAAGAGAAACCCAGGGCACCCCGGAGGCGAGCAGGGTGTTCCTTGGTATGGGTCTCCACTGTGTCAGTCTCCCATCGTCCCTGGCTTGCGCAGCTTGATAGAGCTGTGTTCCCTCGAGCTGTATGCATCATTGGTTGGCAAACTCTCTCTCCACACCCCACAACTTCACACGCTCTGCGTCCTCATGCTCCATCTCAAGTTGCGCCTCGCTATCGGAGATGCTCACCTTGCGTTTCACTCCTCAACCTCCTCCTCCTCCCCATCCTCCTCCACGCGTGATGCGCGGCAGGGAGCAAAGGACTGGCCAGGCGGTCAGGAAATACAGTCGCCGCCCGCTCGAGGAACTGGTTCGGAGTCAGAGCCGCATAGTTGGCCGCAACCTGGGCAGTCGCAAAGGAGAGGGTGGAAGGCAGAGATCGTCCAGCATGACAGATGTTGCGTTAGCTCTGTGCAGACGCCGGGGGGAAACAATGAACGCCTTGGATCGGCTGTCCTGTCTTTCGACCCTGAAACGGGTTGGTCTGACTCGGGGCTTCCTCGAGCTCTGGCTCCTTACACTCCTCCTCATGGCTCTATCTTTTGAAGCTTAGTTCATCCACATGTCTCTGACCCGGGGCTGGCTCGTGAGGAGACTGGGAAACCTCGAGGCCAGGTTCATCTGCGATTCCCACCGTGGCAACGCGAGAGAATCCAAAGCCTGTCGAAATGCGGGCGCCTGCGCGAGCGGACCGAGCTGAGAAGACAGTGACAATGTCTCTCTATATCTGTCTATCTCTGTCTATATATATATCGTTCTCTTTTTCTCTCTCTCTCTCTCTCTGTATACACGTGCCCCCAAAATCATTATTGCACTGAGGGGTTCTTGCTTCTCTAAGGAGCTGGGACTGCCGGTCAGTATGGCGGCTATGCGGTCGCCGTCACCGCCCCGTCGCCACCTCGTCGCCGCCAGTCTTCTGGGCCTGCCAGTCGGTCTGGCGGCTATGTGATCGCCGTCGCCGCCCCAACGCCGTCTGGGGCTGCGTCATGCGCATTGCATTACATTGATTTGCATTGCTGAATTTGGCGTGGCGAGGGCGTACAGCAGCAGAACGAGAGGACCGCGCGCGCTTGCGATGGCACGAGCTGTCCAGGGCGGACCAGGACTTCGAAGCGACTGTGCTGGGAGCGGACCAAGACTTGGACATGGCTGTGCCTGGGGCGAACCAGGTCTCGGATACGGAGTTTCCAGGGCCCGACCAGGATTTGGATGTGAATTACCTGGGGCGAACCAGGACTTGGACGTGAAAGTCTGGTGCGGAACGCTTTTGCCGAGCCTTGTTGAAGATAGCCTGCCCCGCTGAGGCAATGGCCTGGAGCCTACATGGCTGCGGATGATGATGACGATGATGATGATGATGATGACGACGATGACGACGACGACGACGACGATGATGATGATGATGACGATGGTGATGATGATGGCAACGAGGGCGACATCGACAATGGCGACGATGAGGATGGAGGTAATAATGACGACGACGGCGACGACGATAGCGATGCTTATGTCGATGCCGATGGCCATTATGCACCGATGAGACTGACGGGAAGTTCACGCGCGCGCAGACATGCTGAATACACGCCATCCTTGCGATTGGAAAGCAATCGCGGATGCTGGAACACCTCTGTGTTGAAATTCTTGGGAAACCCAACCTGGTGCTGGAGATATTTTGACATGCGCGCGCGAGCGACGCGCGCGCGTGGCCCGCATGGCATTATCGGGAGAGTCATCAGGTGCGGGACAGCGCTCGATGTTCGCGACATGCGCGCGCGCGAACGACATGGTCCCATTTGACAGACACTACAACAAATGAGCGTTTTCAAGGAGTGCGCTCACGCGCACAAACCTGGCAAATAACAAACACGTCAGCCAGCGTGCACCCCAAGCCTTCTGACTGTGGCAATACAGGAAGTACTACCTATGTAGAGTTATGAGCGTGGTGCAAGCTATGTGACCAGTATATTTGGCGCGAGGTACGTGGTGCAACTCATGTTGTACCATATGTTGTTCCATCTGTGTTGTGCAATCTACGATGTGCAACGTAATGTGAAATCTATGTGGTGGAATATATGTGGCGCAACCTGCGAAGTGCAATCAATGTAGTGCAAAATAAACGTAGTTCAATCCATGTCGCGCAAAGAACAAGCAATCGCTGTTGTGCGATGTAGGTGGTGCAACCTACGCGGTGCAAACTATGCGGTGCTATCTATATTGTGCAGTTAATTTCTGTTCGCAATGAATTGTCCACTCCACTGCTCGCGCAAACATCCCACCCACCCACCCGCAACTTGGTTTGCACAATCTCTTAAGACCGTGACGGTGGGTACCAAATGGCACTTGGCAACAACAGCGACGCCGACGACGACAGCGACAACGACGACGACGACAACGACTACGACGACACCGACGACGTCTCCAACGACTTCGACGACGTCGACAACGACGACGACGACGACACCGACGACGACGACGACGACGCCGCCGACGCCGATGACGACGACGACGATGACAACGACGACGACGACGACGACGATGACGACGCCGACGACGACGATGACGACGACACCGACGACGACGACGACGACGACGACGTCAACGACGCCGACGACGACGTCGACGACGACGACGGAGGCGACGTCGACGGACGCCGACGTCGACTGGCGACGAAGACCGAGAACGACTACGGGGACTGCAACGACGACGATGACGACGACGAAGTCGCCAACGAAGTCGTAGAGGGAGGAGGAAGGACGACGACGGCGACCAACGACGACAACGACGGCAACGACGAGGGAAGGACAGCGTGCGCTAGTGTAGCGAACGGACGAAGAAGGAGGGAGAAGGAACGGAGAAGCCGAGAACGGCAACGTCGAGGGAGAAGGAAGACGACGACGACGACAACGCGATGACGCCGGCGACCGCCGACGGACGACGCGACGGACGACGAGACGGCGACGAAATCCGCCGATCAGGCGTGTGAGTTTCAAGGAGTCTCAGCTACAGCCTCGAGGCTGAGCTTCAGCCTCTGGGGGGGTCGCCGGGGTGGCTCTGCCGGGGAAGGGGGGGTGGGGTGGGGGGGGGGGGGTGCGAGTTTCCGGCGAACCCCGGGGCCGCTCCGGGGGAGTGGAAGATAGGGGGGGGGGGGGCGCCATGCTCCGCTTTTTCCGGCGCTTTGGAGGAGGGGGGGGGCCCAAGATACCCCCAAGGGGTTCCAAGAGGGCCCCGAGTCGCCGAAAAATCGCTCCAAGACGCCCGAGATGGCCTCCAGACGGCCCAAGGTGTCTCCAAGACGCCCAAAGAAGCTTCCAAGAGGCCTCCCAAGAGGGCCCCAAGAGGCCAGAATCGTTGATTTTCATTGGTTTTCTCAGGGTTTTTAGCGTTCTTGCCTTTTTGGGCGTCCGACGCTCGAAGACGGCCCAAGAGGCCCCCAAGTCCGTCCCAAGACGGCCCACGATGCTTCCAACACGGCCCAAGAGAGCCCCAAGACGGCCCAAGAGGGCCCCAAGACGGCCCAAGAGGGCCTCTGGACAGCCCAAGAAGGCCCCAAGAGAGCCCCAAGAGGGGCCCAAGAGGGGGACCTCGAACCGAAAGAACCGAGCTTTCCGCCCCAAGAGGCCCCCAGGAGGCCCCAAGAGACCCCCAAGGGGCCCCAAGAAGCCCACAAGAGGCCCAAAAGAGGTTCCAAGAGGCCCCAAAACAGCTCCCCAGAGGCCTCCAGACTGCCTCCGGCAAGCCCCCGGTTTCTTCCGCGGCACCGCCCAGGGCGCCACCGGCAGGATGTCCTCCGTCTCATCGTTTTCCTTCAAGTTATCGCCTCTTCCTCATTCTCCTACTCCTCCTCTGCGACCTCACTCCTATCCCTCAACGATCGCGTCACCGAGTGCCTCTTCTTTGAAACATCCTCGCTCTTCAAACGCACATCCATACACACATGCATACATACCTACATTTAAAAACATTTGCATACATAGAAAAACAATCTTCCAGACATACATACTTACATTCACACACATACACACATATTATCATACACACATACAAACATACATACAAACTAAATACATACATACGCGCACAAGCATACATACATACATACGTACCTACACACAGGCACACATGATCAATGCATGCATACATGCATGCACGCGTACATACACACACATATATCGTGAAAATCACCGCGTGCTCGAAACTTGAGAGAGACCGCGGGAAGTCGAGAGAAGCCGCGGAACGAGGCCTCTACTACTACTACCACTACTACCACAACCACTACTACTACTACTACTACCACTACTACTACTACTACTACTACTACTGCTACTACTACTACTACTACTAATACTACTACTAGTACTACAGGAGCGTTTCCCAACTAGTATGTGTGTGTGGGTGATGCTGTGTGCGCATGTCTGCGGCGCAGGTTAAGTGGTGTGACTGTGTGTGTGCGTTTGAGTGTGCGCCCATATTTTCTGCGTCTGGAGAATAACCCCGAGCGACCCGGATCGGCGGCACTGGCCGAAGGCCACTACAATAGGTGGGACGACGGCGAGACGCCGTCGACGGACGACGGCGACGACGAGGAGGAGGGAGGAAGGACGACCACGGCGACAAAGAGGACGGAAAAGACAAAGACGAGAAGAGGACGACGGACGACGAAACACGGGAAAGACAGAGGACGAGGGGGGGGGGGGGGGGGGGGGGGGGGGGGGGGGGGGGGGGGGGGGGGGGTGGGCGGGGGGGGGGGGGGGGGGGGGGGGGGGGGGGGGGGGGGGGGGGGGGGGGGGGGGGGGAGGGGGGGGGGGGCGGGGGGGGGGGGGGGGTGGGGGGGGGGGGGGGGGGGGGGGGGGGGGGGGGGTCGTAGGCGACGACGACGACGACGACGACGACGCGGAAGGAGGGAGGGCGGCGGCGACGACGACGACGACGACGACGACGCAAGAGCGCGCGCGCACGCTTTTGTTGAAAATCCGTGTCGCGAAACCTTGTGTTTTTGTATGTATTTTGGACACACGATTTTGAAATCCTTCCGAAGCCGATGGGTTTTGAAGGTTCTCGGCATACGCGCGCGACGACGCGCGCGTCTGCACTTCGTCCCATTTTTTGCGGAGGATTCTCGCGACGGCACACGCGCAAGGGCGTTCGACAGATTTCGACATGCGCGCGCGCGCGAAGCCCGTTTGGTAGCATTTTGTGAAAATCTTGAAAAACCTATGGTTTTCTTGAGATGTCGCAAGGGCTCGCGCGGAAGCTTTTTTAGCAAATCAGTGTTGCGAAACCCTGTGTGTTTTGTTTGTTTTCTGGAAGCTCGATTGCGAAATCCTTCCGGCACCGAAGGTTTTTGAA